AAAGGGTAAAGAGGTGGTCCAGTGTTCAGCAACCGGGACAAAAACCGCATTGTTGCTCCTGTGTCCAAAGTTCAGTCTTTGTACAACACCCAGAGCCTTTAGGAACCTCATCCACTCCAGGGGCTATTCCACCAAAGAGTTGGTGGTGATAGAGTCATCTATCACCAGGGGTGACCCCACCCCTGGTGATAGATGACTCGCCCCCCTCCTCCCCAGACTCTGCTTCCTCTATGGAAGATCCCACAGTCCCACCTGAGCCAACTCACCACCAGGTGGTGATCAGCTGTCAGCTCAGCACCTCTCTTCACCCAAGTGTCAATCACATACAGCTGCAGATCTGATGATACAGTTACAAAATCGATCACTGACGTGTGGGCTAGGGTGTCCTTTAAAATTATAAATATATTTATATATTATTAATTAGAGTTATATATAAATATATAACTAATTTAATTTACCTCAAATATTTTAGTTATCTCATATAATTGCAAACCTTATTACATATCATAAAGTGCAAAACTGTAAAAGAATAGCAGTAACCTTTGCTTCTTGCTTTTTGTTTTAAACTGTCTTTGGTTGCTGTTGTTGTGTTGTAATTTGTGCAATAGCTAATAAAATCTGAAATGACTGAGTTCTTGAGGTCAGACCACTTTAGGCACACCAAGTACTCCCTTCTTTTTGGTTCTAAAGATAAATTCTGAAGTGTCATTCAGTGTCTTGCACAATATATCAACACTGGAGATTTTATTTCACGTCATCTAGCTGATGTGTATTTATCTCTCTCTACCTAAGGTACGACAGTATGTCAAAGATGTGGCGCGAATCTACTCCATCACTGTGAGTAACGCGGTGGACGGAGTGTCCTCTAGCTGTCGGGTTTGTGCCCTTGGTGCACAACCGTCCAGCTCTGCGTGTGTGCCGTGCCCACCTGGGCATTACATAGACGCAAGTACGAGCCAGTGCACAGAGTGTCCACCTAACACATACCTGATGCCTCACGCTGCACCAGGCCCTGATGCCTGCAAATCCTGTGGACCTTCCAGCAAAAGTGACAAGGTTTGTTGCTATGATTGAGAAAGAATTTAAGAAAATTCTTGTTATCAGTAAGGTGGTACACCAGATACCTGTGTATTTGTTTTCCAGGAGCACAGCTTATGCTATAGTGACTGTCACTTCACCTACACAGAAGGCAATGCCACTCTGACTTTTGACTTCAGCTCACTTGGGCCAGTGGGGTCACTGATGAATGGCCCAAGCTTTACCTCAAAAGGAACCAAGTACTTCCATCACTTCAATATCAGTATCTGTGGAGGAAAGGTGTGCAAAGATGAAAATGCGCAGAAAATCCTGCAATTTTAAATGTGTTGTGCACAAATTGAATGTCATTGCAATTTTCTCTTTTTCTTTAAGGGTCAGTTGGCAGTATGTACAGACAATGTAACAGACCTATCCATCACTGACTCCCAGAGAGAAAAGGAAGGGCCCAATGCCATCACGACCTTCATCTGTCAATCAACAATAATCCCAGCTAGTGGACGAGGATTCCACACAGCCCTCTCCTCGCAGTCCATTAACCTGGCTGACACATTTGTTGGTTAGTGAGCATCAAACACAGACGGTGGCAGTGAAGAGAATTGAATTTAGGTTTACTTTTTTATGCCTCTATTTTTATTTTAAAAGAATAAAATAATATGTGATAATAAGTAAAAGGTCCTTTTTTGTGGGGATCATTACTCGTATAATATAAAAGGTCTTTTTTGCTTGTCTTTAAATGTTAAACTCCTGTCATAGAAAAGATTAAAGACAAATTAAAAGTAGACATATTATTATGTAATACATTTCTATAAATATTAACAGGGGCAACTGTGGATAACAACCTTGAAGGAATAAGTGTAACACCAGATCTGTTTCCCAAGACCTCCAAGAAAGTTCCTGATGTCAACTTTTACTACAGGTGCCTATCATTACAGGCATTATTTATAGAGTGGAAAAAAAAATCACTGCTTTAAGCTTCTTGCTTTCTGTGCTTTTTGGTGTAAGGTCTTTGGAGACAACTTCATCTTGCGAGTCGGGTCGGAGCGTGGTGGTGACACTTCGCTGCAACCCAGACAAGAGCACTACGGGGGAGCTCTCAGTACCCAGGTCTTTCTCATCAACGTCTCTCTAATTTTCATGTGTTTGTCACTGTTCTGTGCTGTGGTCCAGCTTACTGAACAAATTATGCCTTTGGCTATTTCAGTCAGTGTCCTGCTGGAACGTGTGATGGTTGCACCTTTCAATTCTTATGGGAGAGCTCAGGGGCTTGTCCTACATGCACAGAAAGAGACTACCATCAGATAGAGGGAGTCTGCAAGGGAGGAAATCAGGTGTGTGTGTGGACATATACTTGTCTATGAGTACTGGATTTTTCTTAAAGGCATGTTTAATGTGAATTAAAACAGACTGTGTACTGCAGCTTTCATTTGAAGTGGTTTATATTCACCTCCGATTTTAAAATTCTTATCCAATTTTATAGCCAGCCAAGCAACCAAACGGGTTATAATTCCACAACGGTTCATGCTAACAAGCCTAAAGGTTGTTAGCATCCAAAATATCCATGTATGTAGAAAAATCCCACAAAGCTTAAAGTCAGCACTATAACAGTCTTTGTTTCACTTAAAATGCAGGTTGCTGGAATGAAGACAAACCTATTGAACACTTCAAATTTCATATTTACACTTACTAGTGTATGCGCTGTCCCATTCATATGTGTATATCCACCCTTAGGACTTGCTGTATGTGTGGAATGAACCAAAGCTGTGCATGGGTGGTGTGCCCTTGCCTGCTAAGAAAACACAGACCTGTGAGGGCATTGAGTTCTGGATCCAGCTTGGTGCAGGACTGGGAGCTTTCACTGCAGTGTTGCTCGTTTCCCTGACCTGCTATTTCTGGAAGAAGAACAAACGGTATCTTTAGCCTCTTGTTCTTTAACTTCTCACATCATTATTTAATTACATGTTTTCTCATTTTCCCCTTAATTCCCCTTAATATTCTCCCCTTCTCCCTTTCTCACCTTCTTCCTCATCACTGCTGTAAGATTTTAGCTTCACATGTTTTGTTTTCTTTCCTTAGCTTTGTCTCTTCTTCTCCATTATTACCAAATCCCATCTCTTGCCATTCTGTCTCTGTAACATCACAGTATTTATGTGAAGATTCTTCGTCTTCTTCTTCTTCTTGTAAATTTCTGCAGTATTGATTCTGTCACTTGTCTCTGTGCAAGGTTGGAGTATAAGTACTCCCGGCTGGTGATGTCTGCTAATAAGGAATGTGAAATGCCAGTGGCTGACAGCTGTGCTGTGATGGAGGGGGAGAATGAGGCAGACATGGAGGATGAAGTTGTATACACAAAACCTTCTCTACTTGGAAAACTCAAAGCCATAGCATCCAAGGTGAGAGACACAGTATCACTATACTTTTAAAACCACAAAGTTCCACAGTGGTAAAAAACAAACAAACTATATAGTGTTGCAAAATAATTCTCTTTTCGTTTTCATTTTAGAGAAATGGAGATAACTATGAAAATGTGCAGCTAAATTCGGCTCATTCCAAAACATTGGTGTGGAGCTAGAGTGGAAGAACCGTGAAGGGGGCTGAGGGGAGAAATCAGACCTTCAAGAGACTTTTCCCACTTTGTGACCCCTATCTAACTATCCCCTTTATAAGCTTTGATACCTGGAACACCAACTGTTTGTATGTGCACACACATATAGACACAACATCAGAGCCATGCTCAAACGAGTCACACTAACCTGGTGGCCTTAAAGCTTGGTACGATGGAGCTGTCCAGTTAAAGACTGTGAAGCAGGTGTGTGGCTGACACTTCCTGATAGCTGTCTGATTCTAATTTATTTCAGGAAAAAAATGATAGAAGAGCTCAGGGTAAGACAGACTTATTTAAGATGTCCTGTTTTGCTATTTTTCTCTCTTCAGTTTGCGTATCGTCCAATATTTCGTTGATACCTGTGGTATAGTTCATCTTCAGGAAAGCTATGATTTTCCTTTCCATATCCCACAGATGTTTACACAGATTGGTTTATTCTTTTCATGTACAATCATTATCTTCTCACGTTTTTGTTGTTGTTGTTTTTTGGTTTTTTTTTTGAAATTATATAATGAAGAGAACTACTGATCAGTTGAAATTTGAATTTGCCATATTCTGTTTGGGTTGTGGTGTGGACTGTCCATGTACTTCAAATAAATCATGATGTATTTATGTATAACCTGACTCAGTTTGATTATCTTATTAAAAAGCTGCTGAGAAATTAAGCAATAAATACATTTGACTTAAGGTTAAGTCAAATGTATTTGTTCAATACTATTTAGACTCAAGGTACTTTTGCATGCTTTGCAGACTGAAAAGAGGAATACAAAGAGACATTTAAAACATCTGTAAACATATGTATACAAGCTTGCACAAACAGTCATTATTAAAATATGAAGACATTTCACAGATGTCCAGTTATATAGATCTGGTGCACTTGCTTCTATTTTAATGGGATTGTCACCAAAAATTCAAATTGTTTCTAATACGGCCTTAGTAAAAGCTATGTCAAATAGTCATTAACACTATGGAGAGATCCATAAAAAATGGAACTGGCAAACAAAAATGTAACTCGTGAAGAAATATGCACTCATCAACCACTTTGTTAGGGGATCCTATTGTCAAGATGACCTGCTGAAGTTCAAACTGAGCATTAGAATAAAGAAAAGAGATCTAAGTGACTTTGAATGTGGCGTGGTTGTTGGTACCTGACGGACTGGGCTGGTTCACACACAACCATCCTCGCGGTTTACATTTCCCCACAGAGGCAGTGCTTTGTGGGGAAATGCCTTGTTGATGTCAGAGAAGAATGGCCAGACTACTTTGACCTGATAGGATAATGAGAGTAACTCAAATAACTACTTGTTAAAACCAAGATACGTAGACGAGCACCTCTGAATGCACAACATGTCACAGCTTAGAACAGATAAGCTGCAGTAGCAGAAGGCCACATCAGATGTCACTGTTTTCTTTATCATGACAGTGAGTTCAACGTACTCATTTGGCCTCCACAGTTACCAGATCTAAATCCAATAGAGCACCTTTGAGTTTTGTGCAACGCCAGATGCAGGAGATCATTCTACATCACAGTGGTGATGTGTTTCAAATAAGATCATTTTGAATTTGATGGGATCAACATATCTCCAAAAAACTTGGGACAGGGTGATGTCCCCATTTCATTTAACAGCAGCTTGTAATTGTGAGCAAAGGAGACCATGTGCTGGAATTTTTTGGGAGAGGTGATAATGGACTCAATAGCTGCTCACCAGTCCTGGGTCTTATTTGTATTTTTGGTTTTCTGGTGTGAGAAATATTTGACCAATGTTATCCTAAAAAATAATTTCAAATTTAAAACAATCTAACCACAAATGGTGATTTCCATGTTTTCTCAGTCCAGTATAAATGAGCCTTGACCCAGAGAAGACGTGTGTTTCTGGATTATGTTTGCAGTGATTTCCGGAAGTGTTCTCAAGCAGTGATTTCCATTATAGAATCATATTTGTCTGTTAATGCAGAGCTACCTGATGGCCCAAAGATCATGAGCAATCAATACTTATTTTTGGCCTTTTGCCTTGCCCAACAAGATTTTTCTGGATTCTATGAATCTTTTGATGCACTGAAGATAATGAGTTATTGAACATCTTACATTAAGGAAAATTATTCTGAAATTGTTCCACAATTTGTAGATGCAGATTGGTGAACATCTGCCGAGCTAAGATGCTTTTTTTAAAAACAAAAAATACAGAATATGTTACTCACCTGTTGCACAATTAATTTTGCACAATTGCAAAATGTTCCTCCAGATATTTCTCTTTAGTACTACTTATGTTTCCAGCCTTTTGCTCTTGAAATGTGTGGCTGCTATCAATTTCAAACTAAGCAAATATTGTTCATAAAATGGTAAAATGTCTCAGTTTAATGTTTATGAGATTTGCAAATCATTGCATTATGTTTTAATAAAATTTTCCAAAGTGCCCAACTAGTCATCGCACAACAAGTTTACAAATAAGGCAGAACTTCATTTCCTGGTTTTGGTTGTTATAGTGGAATGAATGGCATTCATCAGTTAGAAGATTTATATCGTGGCTTGAAAGCATTCAGTATTTCCAAACCCCTCTGGCACTTGGCTTCAACAGTAATATAATATCATAGCAACGGAGGGCACAATATTACCTTAAAATGATATATTACTTTTTAAAGTTACCATTGCACAAATCATCATGTTGGCTCAGAAGTGGCGACCTTTGACTTACTGATATACAGGATGCAAAAATTACACAGCTGAAGCAGAAAAAAAAATTCCCCTCGCGGTTAGAAATGATAAATTTGATGAGCCACTTTTCCCCCACCTTTTTCCTTAGCAACTCACCCTGGTCTTCACTGGCATTCGCCATATCGTCCTGCAGAGGTCAGTCAAACATTAAGATTTTAAAAGGTAAACTCATGTCGTTTAATTTAACGTCCTCTCTGATTTTTTCCCTGGTTTTTGCTTCCCTACAGAACATCATTTTTCAGTACAAGTTTCTGAAAATTTACCTGTACACGATTCCCGAGTGTTTAATGCCGCTGGAAAACTCCTTGCCGTAAACCGCAGCACAGTATGTTGGTCAGAAGTGTAATTACTGAAACTAACCACTTGAGGGCGACATTCACTAGTATACAAAAGAAGAGTCCAAATCCTGTTTTACAGAACAGATAACGATAATGTAATCTTGTAAAAATAATAAAGTAAAATGAGATAAAATGAATAAATATGATAAGATTTTCATTTCAACAGTTTGACATGTCCCTGACTTTTTTAAAAGCAAAACAAAATAGCTTCTCTAACGTACGTTGTGTCAAACTACAAGCTACTGACTGCAGTGTAGAATGGAAAATTACCAAAAGACTGCTTCATCTTTATCTTTTTTTAATACACACTTTTAACGTCTTACTTTCAGAGACTGAACCTTCACACTGCATTTAGCAAAAACACTGGGCTCTCCGGTAGATGGTTTAACAAGAGTGCCTTCATTGGGGAACAGATGAGGCAGGGTGTTAGAGCCATCTTTCAACATTTGGCAACACACACGTTGAATAGAGCCCATGTGGATATGAAAGTGATGTTGAGAGGCTGTTAGTGTTGCTGGAGAGACGAATGTATCTGCACTTCGACACACATTTTAGCTGCATTTATTGATATTTTTCTGAGATGAACAGAGAGAAGGATGAGTGGACAAAACCAGGTTTTTTTTCCTTGTTATTTTATTATGATGTCATCACAGCCTTATTATTGCACATACCATAAACACGGAACTATTGCTTTTGAGGTTGATCAGTTCCAGAGTCCCTTAAACCTCAGCTTCATTTTGCCTGCAGAGATCTCATCTTGTTTCAAAGAGGCCAAGGACACATTCTGCTATACGGCGGGGGCTATAGCACAGAGATCTTTGTGGAGCACACAGCAGTTGGCCGAGGCTGAATAGAGGAACAATGTTTATAATGAATGGCTGCTTGTAAAGGATATTCATGAGTAAAGCCAATTAAGGACGCTTCCAGAGTGAGTTACTTGGTGCATGACATGGTAAAACTCGGAAAGGTGAGGCATTTCAAAGTAAAGCGTTTCCTCTACGTCTCAGTTCCAACAGATTTTCCCATACACCCGTTAAACCCTTTTCAAACCTCCTTATGCCTCGACAGCATGCCTGCAGTGGGCTCCCAGATCTAAATGCTTCAGTTCAAGTATGGCCTAGCAGCCTGCTGGTCTTGCTTAGGTGGTCTTGGCTGAGACCCACTGTGTAGCAAGTTTCACACATCGAGTGGAGATGAGGTGGACAAATGTGGCGAGGGAAAGGTTGAAGGGGTGAGGCAGGCTGTGAGAGACGGGGTCAAAAGAAGAGTGTGAGATTGTTGTCAGAGACTGGTCCCCGGACTAAATGAGTGGAGAACAGGGTTAAGTGCTCTATTTGTGCAACTATTAAAAGCTGGGAGTAGGGTACAGGGACTCGCAGAGCCAAATCTCATCAGTCGCTGCCAATTTGAATCAGAACCAGCAACTCGTTTTTCTTTTCCTCCTTTTTCGGCAACTCCTCACCCCTCCTCTTCATGCGGACAAACAGACATTCCAGCAGCGGATGTGATGGTGGTTGTCCATAGCAACGTGCCATGCTGGGTGTATCTTGTGGGAGCAGGACCACTGAGTGAATGGCTAAGCCTTCTTCTAACAAAGACTGCGAATCTCTGAGATGCTTTGAGCTTCCATAGAAGCACTGTGACTTCTGGGCTGTGGGAGTGCTTTACATAATCCAGCAGCAGCTTCCCTCTGCTCTGCCACAGCGCTCTCTCCTGCTGCTCTCTGCACCTAACACACACGCCCCAATGTAGGTCGGCTCATCTTGGCGCATCCTCTGAAATTCTTTCAATCTATCATTCAGTGTGATAATCACAGGGTGCTCTTGGAGACAGGCAGCATAAAGGTGTAGACCAGTCATGAGATGAATGTTCAACAGTTCTACCCACATCTGCTGTATGAAATTTGAGAGAATAGTTTGAAAAGGCTCGACCGGGGGGGGGGGAGAAAATGAGTGATTCCGATCACATATTTTGCTGGAAACATCAAATATAACAGTCACACTTTATTCTAGACAGCATATTATATGTAAACATTTAAGATCAATTTATTAATAATTTACTACCACCTTAAATGCAATAAATTATTGCATGAGCCACTTGTTTAAAAAGAAAATATGCTAAATTACTCTGCTAATATTTAGATTTTCTCGCAACATTCATTTATTCCACCACCTCAGAACTGTCACCCAGCAGCGAGTCTGCAACATTTCCAGCTTGAAACAGACAGTTTGATGTGTGTGGATGTTTTGATAAATTTGATGTACTTTATGGATATGAGTTCTTCTCTAACATCCTTTTGTTAGCTGGGATCAGCCAGCAGCTGACATTGTGTGCTCTGCTTCCTTTCGTGAGCCTCTCTGGGACTGCCAAAGCCAGCTGCTCCTCTGTGCCTCTCAACATCAACACATTTAACACAGATATGTAAACTGCACACTTCAATAACTCAGTGAGTCAAAGACTCAATCTTAATGGTATATGAGCTCCTCTTCCCCTCCCTCATTTTATTGGAGATGCTATGCTGTAAAAATATATGGGCATATATATCAGAAATACCCCTTCCCTTTTAAT